CCAAGAAAATAGTTACACAGAGTTTAACATTGTAAAATAACACTTTATATGCTTGTTTTTTGCACTACTTAATATTCTTTTTTTTTTTCTAGACAGAGATTTTTGCTATAGGGCGCATGTGCTCACCAGAGAGAGACAGACAGAAAGCGAGAAATTACCCCTCAGTGAGGCTGGCCATTCTGCAATCCCTTCTTCATTCCCCTCATGGGATTTTGGACATGCACATGTGTCCAGCATGATGTTTAAGCCTCCAGCCCCAGGATCCGAACCACAGTCGTCTATGTGGGAGTCCAGTGACATAACCGTTACGCCATCCTCTGGCCCCTACACCACTTAATATTCTGACATTTGCTTTTATTGTCTCAAAGTAGCATATTGTTTAAATGTCACACGGTACTGAAAGTGGTGCTTCCTGGCGGTGGTGTAGCTCCTTGTCAGGGCCCACCTTGGAAGAGGAGGTGACTGAGCCAAGCTACCGTGGATGTGCCAGGCACTGAGGGTCCTGGTCCGTAGCTAATTCTGTGACAGTTTTAAAGTTGAACTGCTAGGGAACCAGCAGTTAGCATAATGGCTATGTCGCTGGACTCCCATGTAGTCGACTGTGGTTCACATCCCAGACCCCGTGGCATAAAACTCACGCCGGGCGCATGTGCGTGCGTGCCCAAGATCCCGAGAGGAGAATGGAGGAGAAGGGATTGCAGCATGGCCATCCCCCCTGGGGGGTGATTTCTCGCTTTCTGTCTCTCTGTCTCTCTCTGTCTGTCTGGCAAGCGCACGCGCCCTATAGCGAACACCTCTCAAAAAAAAAAAATAGTTGAACTGCTATAGGAAATTACTATGCATTCTCAATACATGAATATTAGACACAGGGAAAGGAAATAGCACTGAACTTAATAAGCCCTGTGTTGTAAATGGAAAATGTAATATCTTTAAACTGTGTTTTAAATTTGTACTCCCCCCGCCCCCCCGCCCCACCATACATAAAAGAAAAGGACCAAAAGGCTTTTTCGATGCCTATATCCCACAGGCAGTATTTCATGCCCATTTTTTTCTGGCATGTATCCATCCTGCTCTAAATAATAGCCTTATATCAGTATTTTGTGAGTTGAGACATTATCAATCATAGGTTTTGGATAACTTGGTATCTATGTATATGTTATTATAACCACATAAAAGTGTTCACTGCCAAGACAAGCATATTATAATTATTATGATTACATTTTCTTTTTTGTACATCTTTTATTTTCTCTTCAGGTTGATACTTGCCTTTTTAGCCAGGGGTGGGTTGGAGGGGGCTTCTACTTGCACCAGCTCTGTCAAATATTGTCCTGAAAAACTGCTCTTGAGAATCTTTCCCACTGTCCCTCTGGCTCTCTGCTCTCTTCTCAGACTAGGACAGCCTCATCTTGGGCTCCTCATCTTCCCCTAGAGCACCTGCACCATCCCCCACAGTGGACTCTGTCTCCTGCATTTATTTTTCCATGAGAGAGCTACAGAGAGAAAGATAGACAGGCTCCCCAACTCACTCCCCATTCTTTGTATGTGGCTTTCTCTTTCTGGAATGTGTTAGGATTTTCATACCACAGTCCACCCGTAGCCTCAGCCAGCCTGGATCACAGGCAGTGGACACAAACCCAGAATCTTTTCTGTGTGGATCCAGTTGCATTACTGCCGTGCCATGACCCAGCTCAATGCTTTACTCTTGTCTCACTTCTGGAGTGCATCTGTCAGAGCTTCCTGAGCAAACGTGTGACAGTATTTGTTTTTCAGTTTTGTTTTGTTTTGTTTTGTTTAATTTTGCCAGAGGGTGTATGTACTTGCCAGAGAGAGAGAGAGTAAGAGAAAAAAAGTAAGAAAGCATGCCCCATGGTGCATGGTCACACCGCATTCCTTTCCCCTCCTTGTAGTATTATACATGTGTGCGTGCACACACGTCCGGCATCTTTCTCAAGCCGTAGGCCCAGTACTCAGACCATGGAGTCTGCCATGTGGGATTCAGGCACCTTAACTGCCACATCATGGGCTATCCCTTCACAGTGTTAGTTTGTTTTTGTTGGGGAGGGTAGATTTTTGCCATAGGGCATTTGCACTCACTGGGGAGAGACAGACCGAGGGAAAGTGAAAAATCTCTGCTCAGGGGGCACAGCCACTCCATAGTCCCTTCTCTTCCATTCTCCTCCTGGGATTTTGGGCACACATATACATGCACCATGCGTGACTTTCTTTTTTCTTTCCTAATTAATTGATTGATTTATCATTATTATTATTAATTTTTAACCAGAGAGGGACAGCGAGAGAGAAAGAAGAAAAGTGAGGAAGCTAGCCGCCAGGTCTAGGACTCAAACCACGGTCAGCCTTATGGGAGTCCAGCGCCTCAATCACCACATCATCTGCCAGTCCCTCCCCCCACCCCTGCCTCGTGTTTTTTCTAGTCACCAGGTTGGGAACCCAGACTTCAGAGTTGGCCATGTGAGATCCAGGGCCTTAACCACCACTCTACCTGCTGGTCCCCCAGAGACTTTTTAAATTGACCCACAATAATTGTACATATTTATAGGGTACAGTATGACTTTTTAGTACATGATACAAGGTATAATGAACTGACCAGGCTAATTACCATATTCACCATCTCAAACACTTGTCATTTGGATAGGGAATATTTGAAATCCTCTCTTTTAGCGATTCTGAAGTATACGATAAATTACTGTTAACTGTAGTTACCCTACTGTATTCTATCACACAGGAATGTCTTCCGTTTAAGTGTCCTTTTGTATCCATTAACCAACCTCTGTGTGTCCTCCTCGCCCTACTCCCCAGCCTCTACAATTCCCTGTTCTACTCTCTACTTCCATGAGGTCATCTTTTCCAGTAGAAGCAACCAAGTTTTGGAGCCCTTACACATCTGAAGATGTCTTTATTCTGCCCTGATATGTAATTGGTGTAGGTATCATTTCATGGGCTAGGTATAGAACTGTAGGCTGAAGGCATTTTCTTTCTATCAGGGACTTGAAGTCATTGCTCCCTCATCTTCCAGCTTCTGGGTTTGCCATTGTGGAGTCCAGGACTGTTCTCAGTCCTAGTTCTTTGTATATGATTTTTTTCTTTCTTTCTAGAATGCATTCAGATCTTAGCTTTTATCCCTGGTGTGTAAAAATTTGCAAAGATGAGTCTTAGTTTAGGCATCCTTTTCCTTTTTTTTTTTTTTTTTTTAATTTTATTCATTCATTCATGGTCAGCCATGTGGGAGTGGTGTCCAGCGCTTTAACCACCCTGCCACCTGCTGGTCCCTCAGCATCCTCCTTCTGAGATTATGTGCTTCTTTATGTTAAACTGCCCTTTTTACTCGAAATATAGTAATAACAGGAGAAAATTTTTTTCCTTTTTTTTTTTTGAGTTGACTCCAAATTGTTTTTAAATTTTACTAGTCTGTGAATTCTAAAAATCATAAAACTGGTAATGACCAAGGCAAGGCTCTATAAAATTATTATTATTATTGATTCTGAAAGGGGAGACAGAGCAGTGGCCAGAGCACAGCACAAGAGGAGACCTATTTTCTTTCCTTTTTTTTTTTTTCATTTGTTTTTTTGAGAGATTTTTGCTTTAGGGCACGTGTTCTCACCAGAAAGACAGAGAGACAGAAAGTGAGAAATCACCCCCTGGGGGGGATGGCCATGCTGCAATCCCCTCTCCTCCATTCTCCTCTCTGGATTGTGGGCATGCATGCACATGCACCCGACGTGAGTTTAAGCCACCGGGTCCAGGACTCAAACCGCAGTCAACTACATGGGAGTCCAGCGACGCAGCCATTACGCCAGCTGCTGATCTCATAGACCTGTTTTCTTTTCAGGCTCAGAGAAACTGGAACATAAAAACTAGGTTAAAGAAGACAGTGTAGCAGAATATCAAAGAAAAGCAATGGTGTGGGGCCGACCATAGTGTAGCAGTAGAACACTGCACTCTGCAAGGAGCCCCACATGGGAAGGCTTCATGCTCATGGCTGAAGACTGGGGGCAGGTCTCAGTGTCAGGACCCTTTGGGGATTCTGTCTCTCTTTTTCACTCTCTCTGCCTCTCTTGCTCATGGAAGGAATAAATAAGCCTTAAAAAAAAAAAAAAAAAAAGGAAAAAACAAAGGAAAAGAGACGTAATGGAGGACTGTTCCCAGAGGAGGACGGAGATCAGAAGGGGTGGCTGGACAGGGAAGGCGAGGAATTCCTGCCTGGTGGGCCTGTGTTTCGTGTCTGTAGAGGCAGCATCAAGTTAGGGAGGCCCTGCCCTGAAGCATGTTTCCAGATTTCTCCAAACTTCTCTTAATGATAGTCTGCTTTTAAAATTAACAGTGGTGGGGAACCAGCAGTTAGCGTAATGGCTATGTCGCTGGACTCCCACGTAGTCGACCGTGGTTCGAGTCCCGGACCCGGTGGCTTAAACTCATGCCGGGCGTGTGTGCATGCGTGCCCAAGATCCCGAGAGGAGAATGGAGGAGAAGGGATTGCGGCGTGACCATCCCCCCTGGGGGGTGATTTCTTGCTTTCTGTCTCTATGTCTCTCTCTGTCTGTCTGGCGAGCGCACGCGCCCTATAGTGAAAATCTCTCAAAAAAAAAAAATTAATGGTGGTGGAGCACGGTGAATTTGCTCGATATCACATGGTTAACTCCACAGTTCAAGACCTGGACCCAGCAGCTTGAAAATCATATTGGGCACATGTGCATGCATACCCAAAATCCTAAGAGGGGAATGGAAGAGAAGGGATTGTGATGTGGCCATTCCACCACGGGGTGATTTCTCACTTTCCCTCTCACTATCTCTGTCTAGTGAGCGCACGTACCCTATGGCAAAAACATAAAAACTAAAATTAAAATAATTAGTAAGGAAAGAGATGTATTTGTGCCTGGACAGTGGGTATGTGATTGCCTGGGGCTGGCAGATGGACATAACCCTGGCATAACCCCTGAGAACTGAGCACCAGCTCACCAACCATCTTCCCTTTGTCTCCTCAGGCCTGGTCCAGATCCCCGTGAGCATGTACCAGACTGTGGTAACCAGCCTTGCCCAGGGCAATGGGCCAGTGCAGGTGGCCATGGCCCCTGTGACCACCAGGATATCGGACAGCGCAGTCACCATGGACGGCCAGGCTGTGGAGGTGGTGACGTTGGAACAGTGACCTGCAGCCGGATCATGGCATCGTTTTCTAGTCTACTTCAGAATTTTTTACACGTTTTTGCAGAGGTGCAATCAAATGGAATTAAGTCTCTCGACTTTGGAAGAAATGTTTTGTTAACCTTTTTTTTTAAAAGGAAGAAAGGCAGTGGTTTTTGGAATTGCGTTTTTAAAGCACCACTCTTGATTTTCTGGGATTGGTGGAATAAGAAACTGCGTTGTCAATTTCACTGTCCCAAAAAAGCCAAATTGTGGCAGGACTTCTTTCTGCGGAAACATATGTCTACTTATGTGTGTGTGTGTGAGAGAGTGTGAATATATGTATATGTGTACATATGGACATACACATTTACATATATATAAAGTATATATATATATACACATACATATATGTATGTATGTATGAACCCCGCATGGAATTTTCTGTATGAAATCCAGGTGAGCTGTGGAAACAATAATTCACCCAGTTTAGTGGGTGGTAGGGTACGTGGCCAGACACAGTCACCCAGTTTCTTTATACCAGGGTCATGCATTGAGCTACTGACAAACTCAGGCGGAGGTGACCACCCCCTGCACCAAAGCTCCCAGTGGCCTCCCAGAACTCTCCCTGCTGGACTCACCTGAGGAAGGAGGGTCAGGAATGGGGTGGGGGTACAGAACTTCTACTTGCGAGGTCCAGGGGCCGTGTGTCTGCCAGCCTAGACACAGCTCGGGCCGGCCCACGTGCTGGCCTTGCTACAGG